AAATGGTTTTTTTTTAAACTCCCCCCCCCACCAAATAAAACAAAACAAAAAAGTCAAACTTTAAGTGTCTCGCACTTGAAAAATTAAAAAGGCTCTATAACAGACAAATAACTTAAATATTTTAAAAGTTGGCATACTTTGCCTTATTCTCATATTTTGAAAATTTTATGAGCTAAGGGAATGCAGCATTGAAGTATTTAAATATTTAAAAATTAGAGCATAAATACTTTTCATTTTCCCAAAACTGTGGCTTTTCTCAATATTGATGCTTTCTTTTATATTCAGAATAAGCATAGATGGAGCTGGCAAAACATAGGTCAAACTTAAACTAACAGTCAAGAATAGCTGTTGTATACTCACAGCAGCAATTTATTATTTTAACCATTATTTTAAAGACCTTTCATGGCGTTACCTTCTAAATATTTTAAAATAAATCCGCAGGAAAAAAAACTTTTTAACACAATAAAAAGCTATTATTAAAAATTTTTAGCCATGTGTTTAAACTGATATTGGAAGCTCATTAAAAAGAGACAATAGAAGAAGCAAGGATAAATTACCTTACTTGCTAATATGATACATATATCAGTAACAACTAGTTGATTGCAGGGATCATTTTCAGGTGTCCTCCGATATGTAAAAAGTTTTTGAACCACTATTATTTACATTTGCTAAATGACCACCTGGTGTATTTAGGACCACTTCACTGTCAGCCATGACTTTCTCCTTTCTTTCATAAAGTTCCCTGAATAAAATTTAAACAAATTAATACAGCTGTAAACAATATTCAGCAAAGTAATACAGCTGTGAACAATAAACAATCTTTATTTTTTTTTTAAATTAATAAAATAGATATTTTGTGAAAAACTGCCCATTATTTTAATTTTCGTGGGTACCACTTCAAACTTTTGCTTCTAGCAACAGCAACTTCTAGTCAGCTTCTAGCTAAGCAAACTGTCAAGCTATGCAAAGTTGTGTTGCTTCTAAATAGACACAACTTTGCTAAATTGGTCCCTTTAAAACTAGTTGTTGGTTGAAATCGGAAATTTCTTTACTTTCACTAAAATAAATAA